TTCATCTTTTTTCAAAATGACAAATTATTTTACATTATCCTAAGTGATCGGTTGATAAATGATATGACGACGGATACTCTCAATCCGAAAAAAACGAATTTAATTAAAACCTCTAAACAATTTTATTCAAGAAAAAAATCAAATGGTTTTTTAATCAAATTTTTTATTAAATATAAAAAATCCTAATAATTAAATCCTAAAGAAAGAAGTAAATAAAAATCGTCAGAAAATCATCGAATAAAAATGTCAAATGTTTGATGAAAGAACATTTTTTTTCAAATCAAATCTTTCATCTCGTTCTAATCGAGATAAATCTAACCAATAACGATTCAAATGTTCGATCAATGATTTGTATATAACAAAGTGAACATTTCGAATTGAATAACCCTAACCTATTTGATAGATCGTTGAGAAAATACTAAAAGGGATCCCACACCTACAAATAAGAGAGAGAGAGGGTGAGTGTTTGCTCTGCCGAGATCCCCTTGAACCGGATAACCACTAAACTCATCGAGATATCAGTAGGACTACGAAACTCGTACAAACATCGAAGATCGAGATTCGACTAAGGACAACGACGAAGACGACATTTCCAGTTGGTTTTGTAAACGAAGAGAAGAGAAGAGAAGAGAAGAGAAGTTTTGTTGGAGTGACGGGGTTGTAGTAGAAAAACTCCATGAAGATGAAGAGAGTGATGAGGGGGTGGAAGAGGAGGGGTGGGGTGGGGTGGGGTGGGTAGTGGATATGGGGCTTTTGAACGGACGACAGCATTCAATGTTTTATCGAGGATCTACGTTGGCTGAATGCCTTTCGAGTAGAGTAAATGCCTTTGTGCTTTTCTTCACGTGAAGTAGTTGTGTAGTAAAAGAAGAAGAAGGAATTGGAAAAAAAAAAAGAGAAAAAAAAGAAAAAGAGAAAAAAAAGTAAGGGCGTGGGAGGAGATACGAGCGGAGTTGTATACGAATACCGTGACTATTTTTGCTCCCCATGCTTTTTCTCTCCTTCTCTTTCTTATTTAAGATTTGAGAAGGAGAAGGGCACAGGTGGTCTTTCTTTCGTACCTTCACGCACCACCAATTTCTTCCTCATTATCCAACATACGGGGGCGGTCATTTAACGGGGAACCAAACGTCTCTCCTTAGCAAGTCTATTGTATCCCTCTTATGACGCGATCTTTTATTTTTTTTTATTCATTTTAGTAGTTTCTTCCTTCTTCCCTCTTTCCTTTTCTTTCCTTACCTTATATTACCTTTCATTTCTTTTTTTTTTTTTTTTTTTCTTTCTAAGCGATTACAAACGTGATATTATTATTTTTATGCCAACATTTTAAAAAATTTTTTTTTTKTTTTTTTTTTTTATTAAGATAACGAGAGTAATCCTTTCATTATAAGCAAAGTCATAGAAATTGCGCAACGTTTAAATGGTTAGAGTGTCTTACATAAAAGAAGAACCCTCACGTGCAACATGATACGTCAACACGATGCCCTCCGCCTCCTTCACCACCCTAAAATGTTCTTTTCTAAATATGAATGAGAGGAACAAACGCAAAAGACACACGAGTATGCGCATGCTAAGTCACGTGTATCCTCGTGCTTTTGTACTACAACTACTCATCAATCGTTTTCCGTTTTCTTCATCCTTTTCCGGGATAGTTCACACCCTCTCGAACACGCGCGTTTTACCCCGTCCTTTCGATTATTCGGACTGTCACCAAGAACGAAAAGGGGATTAAGATTTCAATTTATTTGCACAATAAGCTTGTGCGACCAAGTCCGAGCATACGTTCCAATACCTAATTCGAGTACCTTCTATTAGTCGCGTGCCCTTATTTACACAAATCTTTCAACAAACTCACCCTTTTTCCTTTAATCTTTGAATCCGAACGCGATCGAAGCGCTTTTTTCATCGAAAATATTTCTTACCATCGACTGATAAAATAGGTGATCTATATAACCGATGTTCTTGCAGACTGGCAGAAAGGGTTGCCTACATTTAGCGTATTTTTTGATTTCTAATACATTACTTGCAAAAATTTATTTACGTTCACTTAAACAATAAATTATATTTTGATTTGTTAGCAAGGAAGACAGATTCAACATTTCTCCATAAATCACAAAGTTGATTTAATTTGAAAAAGTAATGCAAAACCTTTTATGATTAATATTACAAACAACACGATGCTACACCTTTCAGCTCGTTAATCTACATTTTGTCATATGAATTATCATATAAAGTAGATGTTTGCATATACACGTTTCTACCTTTCATTTTTTACCTATCTATCTCTATCTCTCTCTTTCTCTCTTTTCTATTACCATAAAGATATCATTTTACAAGAGCATAGCCGTTAATTGAATTAAAATAAAAAAATTTTTCATTTTTGATTTTCACTTAACAGATAAATACGAGACACGGTTTACTTTATCGTTATTTATGAGAACGTCGTCGACGTTGGTTGTTTTTTTCTGTTTTTTTTCGTTTACGAAGATGGGGCGGGGTTTTCGTGACATTGGAATGTGACCAATAAAATCTGATTTGTTGCGTCTCTTTTTTTTTTTACAACATTTTTGTTCGTATGCTTTTTATCCTTTTTCTTACGTCATCGAAATACCCTGATATTTTATTTATAGGAAAGGAGGTGGTTAAGATGGCATGGCGGTTTTGGTCAGAATTGAACGAAACGAATGATTCTATCGTTTTTAATTAAGAAAATTTCTTATCAGTAACGGATTTAAGGAAAGGTGGTAAATCACCTTTCAGCCAATAATCGTTTCACGGATATGACACGAACATGCGTGGGAGTTGAAATATCCTACTCAAACTCGCAAAGATGCCCTCAAGCTTTGCTAAAGGATAACACCGATTTCAAGGACGTTCACTGCTCTTTATCCGAGATCCAAAAAAATGTCTCCTACGTGTGCTCGTTTACACCTTGCTTTCGTTTTCTTCGACCCTAAAAGGATTTCCGTGATTGTGCTTTGATGTTTTGCGACGATGTCAGAATGATATCTTTTCTCTCTCTCAACGAGATTAATCGATCGTGTCTAATCGGTCATTTCATGATTTTTATTATTTCAATTGCAAGGTTAATTCTTCGATCTGATTTTTAATTTTTATATTGCATTTGAATGAAATTGATCGAGTGGAACGTATATTTTAAAAGAGGATCCTTATTATTCGCTTTAATAATTAAAATGTCTTTTAATGTTCAGATTAAAATGTCATCTTCAAACAGAAAAATGTTATCCAATGTTCTCTGGACAATTTTGTGTTTGTTTGTTTTTTTTTTTTAATTTGCAGTAATTTAACGTTGAGATTGAAAATGTTCCATCTTGGAGTAACAAAAATTTGTCCAACGTTCTTATTAATTTTATGGTTTTTATCATTTTTGAAATTTTACAGTAATGCTGGCGTTATCTGTGTCATTAATCGATCGGTTATGCTTATTTAAAAAAAATGTAAACCTACGTTCGATCTCATTTTCGATTTTTAACTAAACTCGTTCGAAACAGATCGAATATTTTCAGACGATAGCGAATTATAAATAGAATAATTATTATTCCATAAAGTTATGAATCTTTTTATAATTCTATTCGTTCTCAGAAATTGTAAGCATTTCAAGATTGAAAAATTTCCGTCTTTGTTTTTTTTGCCCCGGGCGTTAATCTGTCTGCTTGTTTCGTGAAAAGAAAAATATAAAATACTATTTCACCGACTTGATCTCGATGGCCCTGAAGTCGATCAAATAGAAAACTTGTATTACCAGAACTGATGGTTAAAAAATTTGCAAAGAAAAAAAAAAAAAGAAAAAGATATGTCGTATCAAAAATTATGCAAAAAAAATATATAAGCAGAACGAGTAAAAAACAATTTGCGTAGGATAAACAATATTTCTTATCGATTATAATGATAATTATTGTTATTAAAATAATTACGAGTAATAATTGGCATAAGAAGTCAATGATTTTATATCGAGAAAATAATGAAAAATATTGCAATTAATAAAATAATATAGAAAAATAATTTAAATATGCGTAAAAATTTATTTCGTATAGAAAATGCATGGAAAATATTCTAATTAAAATCATTTTTTAATGTCAACTTGTAATTATAGTATATATCTTTATAATTGCAGACTAATTTAAGATAAAAGTTAAAGATTAATATAAAATATGAATCAGTTTACCTACCTGTTTCTTTCTTTTTTTTTCTCTTACAAGGGAAGACCCAAGTTGATGGAACACTTTTGAAGCCTTTTTTTCGTGTATTATATAAACCTCGCTAAAAGGTCGATCGAACTTCGGGGCGAATTATAAAGTTGGTATCGTTACGTAGCTAAAAGAGGAACTGTCTCGAAAGGTTGAGGTAATGAGGAAGAAACAACTAATGCGTTTTAAAACGATTCGCAAAGAAAATAATAAAGAAAAAGACAGAATGAATAATAATAATAATAATAATAATAATAATAATAATAATAATTCTAAGTTCGTTTCTCGTCGATTGAGATACAATGATTCCTTGACGTACACAAGAAGACATCTTACAAAACTAAATTGTGTTGCGTCCAATAATTAATTATTCGATTAATTAATTATATAATTCATTAATAGTTAATTAACTTAACTATTAACTCGAAACTAATTTAACTTAACTATAATAAAACGTAGTAAACGCTGCCGTGACAAGTTGGTAACGTTCGTCGCAGCAGCGGAGCTTTCTTATAAAGAGAAAAAAAAGAACAATTAAAAAATTGAATGTGAAGAAAAGAAAAACTAAAAAAAAAACTATATCTATAAACGATATGAATTTGTTTTTTTTTTTTTTTCAACAAAAGGCTCAGGCTATTGCAACGTACATTTAGTCTACCTCTTCATCGCAGAAGCATTTAACTACGATTTACATTTTTATCTAATATCGAACGTTCTTGAATTTTTCCTTTTTTTTTTTTACACATGTTTTGTATTCTCTCAAATTTTGTTTTCTATTATTTTTTTTTTCTTAACACTACAACCACCAAATTAGTGAATATGACATTGTATTTGACAATTAATCTAATCTATGACTGCATATTTCAAATATTTTCATTCATTTTTCTTAGCATTTTCAACCCTTTTTCATGAAAATTATTGGCAGTTGTAATATTAACACGTTAACTGTCACGTAAGTTTGACATGTTTTATCATAGAAGCCACAATTCATAAGATTACAAATAAAACAATATAATTAATGGCAGTCACGAGTGTTACCTACATGGCAGTCAACGTGTGAGAAAACAAAAAAAAAAGGAAACAAAAATGTAGAGAAAAATAATAAACATTTTCAAGAAACGTTTCAATGAACCTATATGAAACGAATAATTTTTGTTTATTCATTTGCATTCTGTCTTATGTTAACAGGTGTCAACTAATTAACGCTGATATTTTTATTTAAAAATGTCAGAACAAGTTCGACATTCTTGTAAAAACAGGGACGATACAAATCTAGATTGGAGAATTAAGAACCAGAATAAAAAAAGAAAATAAATGGAAGGAAGGAAGGAAGTAAGGAAGGAAGGAACGGAACGGATCGTTTCGATCGGATCGGGCGGCCAGCGAACGATCATCACGAAGGTCACAGACACTCTAAAACATTGGCAAGACGTTAGAAAAGTTCATAGTACTTTTTCTAGTAACGAAAGGACAACTTTCGTTCGTCATTAATCACGCAATCGTTTCGATATAATCTATCGTTGTCGTAGTAATAGCAATAGTAGTTGTTGTTGTCGTTGTTGCTGGTTAACTGTTCATTCGATATCCAACAAATATTTATTAAAATCGTCTTAAATCAAACAATTCTATACTGAGGCAGTTAAGTTGGCAAGAGAAAAGAAAAAGAAAAGAAAAAAAAAGAACAAATAAAGAAGAAGAAGAAGAAGAAGAGAAAAAGTAAAGAAACATAATTAAACATAAGAAATCAGTCGTGTTGCGTAAATCTTTCGTTTGAAAATTCCCGCCAATGGAAAGCACACTTTTTTGCAACAAACTTTAGAGTCTTTTATATAGATATAATATAGGATTATATTAAAAACTTGTAAATGAATGTTTTTTAAATAAATAGGATTAAGGTAGATTATTGAAAAAAAATTTGTGGCTTCCATTGAATGACGGAGAAGATCAACGAAACTTATCGCTTTTATTAATTTGTTTTGTTTTTTTTTTTTGTTTTTTAGGAGACTTCCTAAGACTCTCGATAAATTTGTCGAATGTTCAAAGAGCCAGGAACTTCATGAGTGCTTCGTAGATCAATCTTGGATCGATGGTACCATCAGCCGTGTACCTGACACCTCTGAGCGAACCATCGTCGTGACTGACAACGCCATATTCACCAACTATAAAACCATCGGGCGTTCTTTCCTCAACCCTGTATTTGTGATAATTACGACCTTCCTCAACATAACCAACTTTGTGACCATCCTCGACATCCGACGAATTGGGTGCTTCGGTTATCGTCATTTGTGGACCATAAGCTTTACCATTGCTACCAACGCTAACCGATTCGTCGAGCTCGTAATTTTCTTCCTCAGGTTCACCGGATTGTTCGCGTCTCAATGGCTGACCTTCTGAATCGTAAACTTTGCTCGGTTCACCGTAAATCTTGGCAGGTTGGGAATAGATTTTAGCCGGTTCTGAATAAATTTTGGCCGGTTCCGAATAAACTTTCGACGGTTCGCTATAGATTTTTTCTGGTTCGCCGTAAACTTTGGCCGGTTCGCTATAGATTTTGGCCGGTTCGCTGTAGACTTTGGCGGGCTCGCTGTAAACCTTGGATGGTTCGCCATAGACTTTGGCAGGTTCGCCGTAAACTTTTTCCGGTTCGCCGTATACTTTAGCAGGTTCGCTGTATTGTCTCGAAGATTTGTAAGCTTTCGACGATTGACCGTATTTCGAGGTTGCTCTGTTAAAGTGAGAACCCTCGTAATGTCTTCCAGCTTTTCTACCTTGCGGTAAGATTTGTTCGGAATCGATTTCCATAGGTTCCTCGTGTATCTCGTGTGGTTCCGAATTGTCTTCGGGTAGTTCGTAATTTTCTTCGTCCGTTCCTAAAGTTGTGCTGCTTACGATTGGACGTTGTTTATCGGACGATCCATAGATCGAAGTATGTTTAGTCGTCGTTCTGGGAGTGATGGATCCCTGTTGACGCCAACTGGTTTTCGGGAAACCTTCGTCAACGGAAAATTCGCTTCTATTTGATTCCGAGACGATGTTGGTAAGTTCTTCTGTCACCAAACGAGCTGGTAATGGTGTCATCACAGTCGTAGATGTAGTACTAGTAGTAGTACTAGTCGTAGGTGTTGGTGAAGTAGATCTCTCGGTAACCGGTCGAGAAGTAGTCCTAGAAGTAGACTTCTCTGAATCCTTGTTGGATGTCGTCGAAATGAGAGTAGGTGGCCTTGTGACAACAGGAGCGTCGGAACTATCGTAATGTTCGACTCTAACTTTATAAGGGGTTGCTTCGACCGTCGAAGTTACACTCACACCTATAACCTTTTGCCTGCTAGTTATACCTTTCTGATGATTACTAGCATTGCTGTTATTGCTGGTGATACTGTTGTTAGACCTGGACGATTGATTGTTGTTGGTAACTTTTGGTGAGAAGCTCGTAGCCATGCTCAAATCGTCGATCAACGATGCCAAATTTTCTTGTCCGTTGTCGTTGACATTTTTCTCACGACTGATAGGATAGAAACGAACTATTTCGTCGGGACTACGACCGGAATGTTGAGTTTTCGTCGTTATGCTACTAGTTCGGCCACTGGGATTTCTCGAGATTCGGTAAATCGATGCTTCGTGTTGGGACTCCGAGCTGACGCTGTCTCCCGAAGACGAAGAGGACGATGAAGAAGATGAGGATGATGATGACGACGATGATGAGGATAAAGATGACGTATGACCACCACGACGGAATCCTCGTCGTCTTTGGGGCGCCGGCGCCATAGCACCGTTTATGAAGACCGAAAGAAACTCCGTCCCAGCTAGTATGTCGTTTCTCTTGGCTGGTGCGGCTCGTACCTCCTCCCACACCAGTGCCGCTTGTAGCAGTACCTGAAAGAGGTTGGGCACGTACGTTAGTCAGAGATTCATACTTAACAATTTTATGTTCGTTCGTTCATTCTCGTGTAACTTACATTAGATGACCTAAGGACAAATTTGACCAAGTCTCATGAACAAGAAAATTATTTATCTACCTTCCTTCATATTCTACCTAACACGAGTGAATTATTATTATTACGAGTCTACTTTTTGTTCTTTTGTTACACCTTTTTATTTTTTTTATTCTTTTTTATGGTTCGACCATTTCCAAGGGAGTTATACTTTATCGTTCGTATAAACTCCAAAACGTTGAATATCATTTTTGATATCTTTAGATGACTCGTGTGGGTGTTGTGTGTATATAAATGCGTGATGTCGGAAAAACGACAAGAGAACATCGGTCGAATTTTACAAGAGAGGTGTCTCATTTTAAAATATGATTCTTTTGAATTGTTACATAATTATTTTCTAAGATTAGAAACATTGCGATTTGATTTTACAAAATAATATTTGCATTTTTTTTTTCAACAATAATACGATGAGTAATCAAAAACTGTAACTCCTAAATTCAGTGTACTTCGATAAAAAAAATGAAGGATAAATCCAATACTTGAATAAAAAAAAGAACTTTGAAGAGAAATAAATGACATAGAAATAAACAGTTCAATCATCTTTAATTATATTTGTATTCATTGCAATTGATATATAGCGTAATATTTCGACCATGACTTATAAAAGAGAAAGAGAAGCATGAGAATTGGATCCATCGACCAGATCGATTTGAGAAAATCAAAAATAGTGGAACAATCTCTTAAAGGTATTGTATATATTAGCAAACAATGGATTTGAGTTGCGTTATTTCGATGATGAGCGCAAGTGAAAGAGATTAATGTAAATGAGCGTCAGGTGTCAGAATGATTTCGACATCGTCAATCATCTTATAATGGTCGTGGTATGCGACTTTGACCGTGAGAACTTGTTATACTCTTTTATTTTTTTTCTTCTTCTTCTTCTTCTTCTTCTTCTTCTTCTTCTTGCCCGATACTTAATTATTATTCTGCTTTTACTGTGTCTTTCTTTTTTGTTTCATTTTTATTTGAAATACAAGATAGAAGGAAAGTAAGAACGAGGGAGAAAGAAAGAGAAGATACTTTTTAAACGATCCTCGTTTATGGAAATGGCCCAATGGATTTCTTTTTCTTATCAGCAATTGGCGCCAAGATCAAAAAGGATTATTATTGATCTTTGCTCTCTTTCTATGCTCAAAGCCAGTTGAATTTAATAGCATCGAACTTCAGCCACTACTTAAATTCACCGACTCGCATTAGCATGCACCAGGGGCGGAGAGAGAGAGAGAAAGAGAGAATGATAGGGACGAGAAGATTAAAGTGAGAATAAGAAAAGTGGGCTGTGGGAAAACGAGTAGGTTCGAATAGTTGTTTTGTTGTGGTTGTTGTTGTTCTTCTTCTTCTTTTTCTTTTGCAAAAAATTATATATAAGTATGAAAAATTGATCGTGTAAAGGAACTATCAGGTTCTTTTTATGTGATAGCAAAATTAAGTAATTTATATAAATAGATTTTATTGTTGTCACCCTTTTGTAACACGCACGTGGCCATCTCTTTTCTCACAATGTAAAAATCTTGACGATTAATTCGGTGGAAGATAATTCATTGTAGTGGGCATCATAAAATAGCTGTTGGTTTGGCCATCATCACGGCTTAGAACTTCTTTCATATCTTCTTCTTTTATTTTTTTTTTTTTTTTATATAGCTTATAATAATAAAATATAAAAGCAAAAAGAGAACCGAAGACCGACACAAAAAATGGGATCATCCCCATTTATAATATTTGCTTCTTTTTTTTCTTCTTCTTCTTCTTCTTCTTCTTTGTGAACGTTCTCATACATCAATAATCACTACTTTTTATGATCTATATTTATGTAAACGTTAAAAGGAAAAGGTGTAAAAAATGTTACAAAAGGTAATAATAATAACCAGTTAGAGAGTTAAAAATTTGAACGAAAGAAAAGATCCTTCGATGTTCAGTCTTCATTTTATATTCTATCTTTTACTTTGATGTCTCTTACCGATGAAAATAAAATTGGAATAAGAGTAGCACAATGAAGATTTATGATCTAACCGAATAACTTTGATATTAGTTGCTTATAACCTTCCAAAACTAACAAAGATTCATCCTCTCTCTCTCTCTCTTCATATTTTTTTTATTTTTTTTATTATTTTATTTGTTCATTTTGTTTCGTTGACTGAACGAAAGAAGAAGCCGGACCTCTCGGACGAACTCGACAATAAAACCGAACGAACGAACGAACGAACGAACGAACGAACGCCTTTAAATTATTAACGGCACGGATTTTATGCAGTCGGCCTCGCGCATAAACATTCTCCTGAACTTTTCTCTTTTTCATTTTGTTTCTCTCTCTCCTCTTCTTCTTCGTTTTTTTTTCTTCACTATCTTCTCTTCCTTCTTCCTTTCTGTTTCCAGTGGCCCGGGTATCACGTAATAAGAACATAAATTCAATTTTATACTGAGATTTTTGTAAACGTTCGAAAGAATTTTTATTGAATTCTCATCTTGAAAATGAACAAGAGTTCGTTTTTTCTATTTATTTTTGTTAGTAAAGCATTGTTTAATAAAATGAATAAATGAAATATTGAATTAAATCAATTAAACAAAGTGACAAAGATAAAAACGCATAAAAGGTGATACGATGAGAGAAAGAGAGTGAGAGAGAAGAAAGATCGCATAAAATGATGAAGCGACTCGTATTTCGGTTTGAGAGTCTCCTTGCTTGCAGATTAATCATTCTGTCTTCGGCTCGTGCGCGTTGCTATAAATCCGTAAGTGCTGCACGCACGACTGTCACATAGACATGTACACACATATATTAAATATCTGCATTTACATTCGTACGATTTATATTTGAAGTAATACTACCATATAACATGAGATTTAGTCAAATATATATACATAATGTTATAACAATAAAAATTCTATAGATAAAGATGAAATTACAAATACTGAATGATTTGATAATAAAGATGATGATGATGATGATGATAATAAACGTGCGTAAGTTTAATATGGAATTCGCGTGGGTACAAAATAGAAACGATGAGATTTCTTTTACGATACATTTATACGAATACGGATGTATGTGTGTGTATATGTGTAAGTTATAAACAATATGCAGGTGCGGCACAGTTTGTGTTTTTAAGGACAATCGCAAACCCGTCATCATCAAGGAATCACGGATTTGTTTGAGGAAGAGTGGGCGCACATTTCTTTTTTTCTTTTCCTTTTCTTTTATTTTCTTTTCCCTTTAAATTTTTTAATACCCTCGCCCCCGTTTCAATGTCTTTTATAATGGTTCGTTGATTACGTGCTAGGTCGAATGACGAAATCGTAACAAGCGAGCTTTTATGATTCAAAGGAATAACATTTATCATGTGTTACCTGTTTCAAACTGTACTCTATGAGTCAGAATTTTTAGGTATGAAATAATCAAATGTTGATAATTCTACGAATCAAACGATAAATAAATTGTAAATGCAATTGGAATTAATTTCAAACAAAATTTTAAAATAATTTTACTTTTCACACTTATTGGATACTACCAAATTATTACACATTACTACAATTAGAAATTTCTAAATTCGTTTTAATTATTTGAAGCGATTTAATTTGTCGAAGGATAAAACGAATTTAAAATAATCCTACTCGAAAGAAGGAACCAGTTCAATTGGGAAGTTAAAAGAGACATATCATTTAACATGCATGATTGGTGGAATCGTTCGAGCAACTATGTTAACGGAGTAAATAAATGACAGGAACAACATCAGGTTCTGAGGAATCTGTGAAAGAGCGGCCAGATCAAGGTCAACACTTCTCTGGGTGTGGTAGAGGCAGGAGAGTTAGGTGTGCTCTGTCTTTTCCCTATATGTCGTCCAACTCGTTTGCCCAATGTAAGCAACTCTTTTTTCGAGTCCTCACTAATTGTCCTTTCAAACGTTCTCACACACTTAGAAGATAATACAAAATTAGAAAAAAAAATCAATCGGTCTAAATTGTTTTAACGAGATCGTATTGATTGTAACAAAATGATTTACAATTACAATTAATTTATTACAATTAAAGTAAGTATTCTCTGATAATTAAATGATACGACGTAATTCTGATTCTCTAAATAAAAAGCCATAAAATAATATTACAAGATCTAAATTTACTAACGAAGATAATAAATTAATTATAAAAATGATTAAAACTAAACCGAAAACGTTGAATATATTCTCTAATCTAAAAAAAATTATACAAATTCATTTCTTCCTCATATTATATAAGAAAAATGTAATTACGATGATGATCACGCACAATCTTGAATAAAAATCAGAAAAGAATGTACGATGGAGATAAGGGTTAAATTTCCAACCGATGAAATAACTGGAATAACTTAGTTTCTAATCGGTAATACTAAAAAAGGAAATAAGCAAAAAGGTTTTCTCTCACAGATATGGAACTGTTGGATGTAATAGAAAAAGAGAGACGATTTGCCCGTGACACGATTTGCATAAATATAATATTCTCTAGGTAAGGTGGAAACTTGCTTGGATAAGTTCAACTCAACTGCTATCCCTGGCACACCGATCGTCTTTCTATCTTCACCGGCTTTGCAGTAAGAAGTTGCCAAACGTTTATGCGATCGATCGTAATTCACGCGTTTAATCTACCTTTCGATATAAACCAATAGAAAAGAAGGAAGAAGCGTGAGAAACTTGCGCTTAGTTTGCGTTTATAACAATCGCGTACGTGTAACTCGCCAGAAAATCATTTAAAATTCCACAAATTATTGCAGTTTAATTATGTGAATGATTTACCATTTAAATTAATCCATTAAATATATGTATATGTGTGCAAATATAATTACAAATTAGGAGGGATGAATACTTCAAAAATAATAAATTAAAATATTAAACATAACAATTTATATATTGA